CCGGGAGGAGGGGGAGGGAGGAGGAGCGAGGAGGATCAACCGATGAAAGACGGCGCGATATTACTTTATTATTCCGGCGTAATAAATTGGGAGCGCGTCGGGTACAACATTAATTCTTTGTTCAGAGGTTTAGCACATCATATGTGCGTGATTGCATAAATCTTCATTTATCCTTCCATATTACTTTTTTAGATTCAAACATAGCGGCTGTTTACTAGCACAAGAAAGCGATACAAAAAATAGTTCTAGCTTGCGATAACTGAAGATAATTATCTCAAACATCTACAGAGAACAGGAAAACTTTATTGATAAAATGGAAGCGCCTAGTCTGGGAGCGAGAGCAGATTCAGTTGCGGACGAGTTGAAGAAGTAAGTGCGAAAGAGGGAAATTTTGTGTAAAAGAGCATTATGTCTATTCGATAAAAGAAGGCGAGACATGATTCTGTTGTTCCGGCGCAATAATCGCGTCGAGAGCAATAATACTTCTTTGTTCTGAGGCTTAGCACATCATATGTGCGCGACCTCATAAATCATGGCAACTACTGCAACTCGGCTCGGCTCGGCTGGTGGTCGCTGGTCCTTGGGAAGCCCTCTGTCATCTCTGGCAACGGTGTTTCGTGGCGTCGTTCACCGGGATCGTTTGGCAGCCTGCCAGAAAAGCAGGGCAACGTTACCCAGGCCGCAGCGGCTGTATGGCCTGGCTGGTGGGGAGGCGGGATAGTAAAGGGGCAGCCGTGGTTGTGGGGTGCGTGGAGGGGTGAGCGGCGGTTAGCGGGTGTAGAAATGTCTTTTCCTCCCCCTCTCTTCCTAAGCACCAAATTTTCCCATTTCCCATCCCCCTCGGTAGGGAGGACTGAGAGTAGTGGGCGACCAAATTCGCCCCCGCCACTCAGTCCCCCTAAGCCGCACACCCCACCCCTCCCCCCTGGTAGTGAGGACTGAGAGCAGTGGGCGACTAAAATGGCCCCCGCCACTCAGTCCCCCTACGCACACCCCTCCTCCCTTGGTAGTGAGGACTGAGGGCATTGGGCGAACAACTCGCCCCCGCCACTCAGTCCGAGTGGACCGGAGAGACTGAGTTTTGTGCCCAAAAACTAGGCTTACATACGGGAAGAATGTGGGCGTAGCCAAGGTAGGAGGTGTATAGATTACCTCAAGGGGCTGTAAAATGCGCCTACCCTATACGTTACACATCAAATATGCGTGACCTGAAAAGCCATAAAAACCATTCCCTTCTACTTTTTTTAGCTTACGCTGGCACTACATTCAAACTACCGCCATCCGCGGTGGAGCAACCCTACCCGCCTTCCGGAAAAAAATTTTTTACAGCTCGTGTGTGAGACGGGCCCAGCCGAGCCGAGTCAAGCCAAGCGGTGTTTTGGTAGCTCTTTGTATAACTGAGGTAAAATAAGTCACATGAGAAAAAATGCGAAAGCGCCATCTGTATTATGGAATGAGCAGACTCACTCTGTTCCATCAGCAAATCTCGTCCGTTGCTGCTCAGCCTGGCAACGATTTTTGGATTCCTCATAAAGGCATTCAATTCATCGATGAGATTCGTACAGTATTCGGATAAAAAATTTGCAACTGTCTGATTATGCTCTGCCAATAGGAAATGCGTTAAAATAGAGATGCACGGAGTCTGAAAAGTTACCGAACAGATCATAAATTCTTTTTAGCGCATATTTCGATGGCTAAAATATGTGGATGGGAGATAAAGCAGAAGAGCAAATGCTGGCTACTACAGAGACAAAAACAATGCAAGGAGTGCTCGAACTGCCTCTTTGTGTCAAACAAATCAGACAACACAAGCGGCGTATATATAACCTGACCCTCTACGAAATAAGCCGGTAAGATGTAGCTGCGATAATGAAAAAAACAAAGTCCGACAAGCAGGATACGCTGTCTGTTCTGCCAGATTTAGGCCTAGATTCAAGCTATTTGCCCTATTTGTAAAAAAAAATTGGCCGGCGCACCAAATGTCGGTGCGAAAATGCGCTTTTTGCATATTTCCCCGCAAGTTTTTGTCGCCAACGGCACCGATTTACCAGCAGATATTTCCAGCCAAAAGAACTGAGGCTAGCTGCCAGGAAACATCTCCTTAAACTTCAGCTTTCTAACTTCCCTGGTCCCGCGTTAGCAAGTTACCCGTGAAAAATTTTCACGGGCCCGTACATGCGAACCACGCACATCTGGGGGCTGGGTTTGAGCTCATTGATACCTGCGTGGACGGGGAAATTCCTCAAAATTAAAGTCTTTCAGCTTTTTAGGCTCCCAAGTTAGCAACTTACCTACAAAAAACTCCCACGTGGGACCCACGTAAGTAGGGGTGCCCCTTTTGGGGAAGGGGGCCCGTACATGCATGCAGATTAAGCTCCTAAAGTTCCAGCCCTGAGGCCTTTGTAGGTCTCGAAATGAAAAATCGGTACAGATGAACACATAGACACACACACACACATAGACACACACACACACACACACACACATACACACAGACAACTTCTCGACAATATGCGTTTTTTCACTGCGTAGATGCAAAAAACGCATAAAAAATAAACCTCCAAAAGTTTTGTGGCTTTCAGGCTCTCGAGTTAAAAAATTAACCCAAATTTAGACATAAGTTCACAGCTTGTGGCGGATTAATTTCAGGACTATAGTCTTATACAAAATTGGGGACCATGTTCTCGAAGTTTTGTCCTCTCCAACTTTCTTAATTTTGGAGCTATGCGTGATCCTAAAGTTGAAATTTTTTTTTCCACCCACATAAATCACACAGCTACAGCGCATTTTTAAAGTAATATGAACATACGAGAGTAAAAAAAAGCATCTTAAAGCATCAGAGAACACTTCGATTAAGAGGAATTGTTACAAATTCATTAAAAATTCGATAAAAAAAAAGTTAGACAAATAGAAATTACCTGCTGAGCTACAGCAACGTATAAAATCTGTTGAATTAAATGATGTCCTGTAAAACCAGGACGACTGAGCATTCGTTGCATACATTCATTACTTAATTTACATGAGAAATTTCCTTCTTTACCAATCAAAACCAGTTCAGCAAAACAACTGAAAAAAAAAAAATGCTATGTCACAAATTGCCGGCACAAAAACCTTTTTAGGAATAAGCTATTTTTTCATGAAAATACTCTTTCTTGTTATCGATGTGGTTTCCCAAAAAAATTCCATGGTTCTTCTCTCCAAACCTACAACCCGTTGATCAACTTGCTAATGCTCTTGGCCTTTCTTTTCAGTTATTATCATTTTTTGTTCCTCCGATGTAAAACAACAGATGTGTCAAATTTCTTCGCAAATTTGTGAATCTACATATTCTGTAAGGTAAAAAAGTTGAAAAAAATGGTGTACACGAAATGTGATAAAAATGATGGTGACCTGTTCTCGGTGAGAAGAGCAGCTGGCATGGTATCATCGAAAATGTTCGCTTTCAACTGCTTCTCTTTCCATCGAAGTCGCTCATCTGTACGTCGATGTGAAAAATTCACCACAAACGGTCGTTGAAGAAGATAACGAAACTGCAATGTAAAGCAATTAGACAGCAATATTTTTAAATATCTTTTTTCTTTTTTTTTTGCTTTGAGACTAAAAACAATTCTCCTTCCAACATTTTCCATGGGGAGAATGGGGCGTTTGGAAATAGTCCAGAAATAACACAACAAGCACCAGATATAACCAGACGATGACAAGGACACTGACTGTCCCCATTTTATAAAGTTACTTAAAATCAAGCCGATGGTGGTTTTGCATGTGTTTGTACTACACCAACATTGAAAAAAATAAAGGAATCGCAGAAACACTGGTTGTTTGTACACTATAGCAAAAAATGAAGTCTCAAATTCCAGTCTTTTCGCTATTACCGATTAGAAAGATGAGATCAGTAGGGTAAGATTACCTGGGTAAAATATTCACTATCACGAACAGCTACAAATGATAAGGCCTTGTTAGCCAGTGCAACCGCTGATCTGCTTATATTGCGTATTTCATTAACAATTTCCGAATGAACATCCTCATCGTGTAGGAGCTGCTCGATGCCAGTTAGGTGACCTGAAAATACAAAATTATCCAATGCACTTCACTGTTTCTAGACACGACGCGGTAAAAACTTTGAAGCTCCAGGCATGTCGATTCGTTGGACTGCATTTTGCCCACCTAAACTTTGTAGCTAAGGACCAATGTAATAGAACAGAATAAAAAAATAGGATGTATTAACAACGGATGAAAGAAGAGGGAAAGTAAAAAAGGTAGGAGATGGGAATTAGTCTGACCAGCTGTTGGTAACGCAGTAATAGTCAAGCAGCTTTATGCGCAAAAATGGCATCAGTGGTATAATTACCGCCTAGGGAGTGCAACGAAAAATGACAAAGCAAGTTTAGAATGGCTTAACTAACGCAGCACA